CAGGATGGTGTTTTTGTTAGTATTGCAAATGCATCCTCATTCTGTAACTAGAGTCCTATCGCATGGCTGACTGGGCACCAGTGTTTCCTCTAAGCTGAGTTAGTGTGAGCTAGCTCACAGTTTTTTAGCCTCTGGCTCACACATTTTTGTCTAAGCTCAGGGAGGATGGCTCCAGAGCAAACTGATTTATGCAGGAGCCAAATCGCTCGCTCACAGCTTTAATGCCAGTCGCTCACAGAGTAGAATCTTGGCTCACAAGACTCCAGAGCTTAGAGAGAGCATTGCTGGACACCTTACTAGAGCTGCATGAGTTGTATTCTATTTCGTAATCCGTCTGGAGCTTCAGTGAGGAAAGCAGGCTATGAACAGAGCAAATCAGTACCTCTCTGTATTCTGCTAGTTCCCAACAGTCCCTGGATCCTTTCTGAGGAAGGTCATCGTCTGCACTGCCACCCTCCCCCACCCCGCTTCTGTTGGGGTGCATTCCCAGGAGGGACGCCTTTATCACCACCAGGCATGGACATCAAAAGCCACCCCAGCAATCAGCAACCACCAGCAAGAGTATGAAAGGGGGGGTTAACATCCAAAGGGCTACCCCCCCGCCCCCGATTGTCATCAGCAGCCAACAACCCCAGCCCTAACATACGTTGCAGAATCTGGGGGCAATTTTCACAGTGCCAAAGAAAACCTCAGAACTAGGGCGCCTCTCCCTGTTCACTTTTTTGCATTCCTTGAAAGTTCACAAATTGACTTTAGTTGTGATGGCTCAGAAGGAACGAACTCTCCGAGCACGCTGGGCCAAGGGCAACAAAGAATGCAAGGAATGGAAATGATTGAATAAGAGCTATGGAACAGGAAATCGTTAACAAACCCCCCCCCCCCAACACAACACATGTGTTCTTACACTGTATCTTGTGCTGGGTTTTAAAGGTAAACCACTTTGGAAGCTAATCTGGGCAGGAAACACTTGGGTACAAAGATAATTAAATGAGTATAATAAATCTTTGGACTTGAAAACTCCCCCCCCCAAACACACTGTATGCACCCCCTCACAGCCACTTCCCACCTATTCAGACGCAAAGGATTGACGGAGCTCCCAGAATGAGAAAGGGGTAAATGAATAGTCTCTCGGTTCTCTGTGCTTGAGGACATGGGTTTAAGATTAAAAATTAGAAAGCTGGCAATTTATCAAAGGGTCACGGCATGCAGATATTGCCTTCTGTTAGGAAGTTTGCATTGACTTCTGGCTCCAAGCCAGCAAGCAGATTTTCTGCTCCCACGCCCAGCTTCTAAGAGGCTAGCAATAAGCCAGAAATGTACTATTTGGGGAGCACCAAGAACTGCCTACAACGAAAGCTCACAAAAACACACGGAAGTTCACACCTTGAATAAAACTTTGTTGGTCTTAAAAGTGCTACTGGACTCCAACTTTGTTCTGTTTCCTAAAACATCCTCACAGAATGCTTATAAACAGACGTGATTTCAGGGGTGAGCTTGCTATGGAAATGCATTCTCAGCATTTAATTTAATTTAATCTTCTGTGCAATCTTCTGTCCAGGACTGAGCTCAAAGGGAGGTGGATTCATATGCCACAGCAGAAGCCAGCTGCGCACAGCTCTGATTGGCTGGATACCAGTAACATCATTAACCCCCCCTTAATTTTTAAGTACTTAAAATATTTATTCTGCTTTTCCCTCCCCTTAAAAAGGGGATGAGTGTACATTTAACGAATGAATGCACACACAGTGAAATAAAAGAGAAAAACACCATCTCAATCCATGGGGGGGACGGGGACGGACAACAGACTACTGAGCCAGCATTTTGCTGGCCAGTATCTTTGTCAAGTGCACAGAAAAGTTGTGCAGGATGCAGAGTTGAAGCTGCAGACGGGAAGGATACATAGAGTAAGCCCCAGTGCAGGAAAGCATAACGTGGGAACAGAGAAAATGTCTACAGGGCAAACCACCAGGATGAGGTCTTCGCCTAGAAGGCAACATGTTTATTAACCAGCTCCATATCACATTTTGCGTGTGCATCAAGATGCACACCTGCACAGGCGTGGCTTTGAAAAGCACTGCAGGAAGCAGAAACGATTTCATGCCCAAGTAACTGAGCTGTGAACCCACCTTTTGCTCTCCAGGCACCTCAGACTGCCTGCCCACCTGTGTCATTACCCAGCAAGATTAAGGGCCTGACATTTTCACTGCGCTGCCAAAAAGTAATTAACCCCAATAACCTACAAAATCATCCCCCCTCCTGCCCCAGGCATGGAACCAGACAAGAAAACTGGCCACCGAGGAGACACCATCATCAGCTCTTTCTCTCCCCAGTCAAGATGCATTCTGCATTTTCTCCCAGAGACCACCCAGGCCTCTGTTTGCATCAGGGTGGGACGGGGTGGGTGGGTGGGGTTGCAACTTTTGACTCGAGAGCTAAATATGTCTCAGGATGGAAGCAAATGTGGCTCTTTTAAAAAGACAGTGAAATTTTCAAATTAAGGGTCTACTGCAAGAGTAGGGGTGATGCCGGGATAACCGGTATGCAAAAGGAATGGCAGGGAAACCGTTTTATGGCCCTAAAAAAAAGGTAAATGATAAAGATGAACACTGGCCAGTAATCCACGTGCACATATTGACGCCACTGCACTAAAACAATCACACAGGATGCCGTGGTGTATATTTACTACGGTGAGATCCTGTTATGTGTCACTTACTAACAGAGGGATCACAATACACAGTGCCTGGGCTGTAGAAACTTGATGGATCATTAATCAGCTCATCAATGATCACTAACGTGATACTGCATATTTTCGGATATGCAAACGGGCTTCTTTACACTGGCTATTTGTTAACTACTTGCTCCAAACTTTGACATCATTAGCTCTTTAATGATAAAACATGACAGACCTCTGTGGTGGGCCCAAGGAGATGCAAAGGTTGAGCTCCAACTTGTGTTTGGTCTTCTTAGGGTCAGCTGCTGGCTTTTATAGGCCCCCTGGGCATCTCTTCCTCACTCCAGCGGGATTCCCCTTCGCTACCAAATTACAGCTCTGATGAAGGGGTGGGGTGTGACTGTTCTTCACAGGCCTGTTGGGGGTCAATGGATCTAGGTAAAGGTAAAGGTTCCCTTGCTCGAAAGCCAGTCAAATCCGACTCTAGGGTTGCGGTGCTCATCTCCGTTTCTAAGCCGAAGAGCCAGCGCTGTCGGAAGACGTTTCCGTGGTCATGTGGCCGGCATGACTCAACACCAAGGCGGACAGAACGCTGTTACCTTCCCACCGAAGGGGTACCTATTTATCTACTTGCAATTTCTTGCTTTAGAACGGCTAGGTTGGCAGGAGCTGGAACTAGAGACGGGAGCTCACTCCGTCATGCGGCACACTCGGGTCTCGAACTGCTGAACTACTGACCTTCCACAGCCTGCAGTTCAGTGTCTTAACCACTTGGGCCACCGCAGCTCCTCAATGGATCTAAAAAGGAGCAAAAACCAGCCACTGTTCTGCTCTGTCCAGCGTTTCTCCCACCAGGAAACAGGCAATGTAGGCAACCTGGTTCTGCTACCTCCAGGTACTTCTCCCATTCGGAGGTGGGCCCAATGTGCCTTGCCAGATACTTTGCTGTGCTGATCCGGGACACCAGACCTCAGGAACAGGATTCCCCCTAAGCAGAACAACTGGCAATATCTTCAATAAGAGTGGTGAAAAACAAGCGTAGCCCATGGCAAAAAGGAGCACCCCAAAAAGCATACCTCATGGCAAAACGGAGCAACCCCAGGGTAAACTCGCCATGCGGACTAAGCCAGGCTCGAGGTCGCAGGCCTCCCTTTCAGAATCAAAAAGGGAGGGGGGGGCTGAAGAGGAGGAAGTGAGGAAGCCAGCAGTCACTTTGTAAAATAAAAGGTGCCTAACTGTTTTAACTATTATTGTAAGCCACCGTGAACCTAGAGGAAAGGCGGGATTAGGGGGGCCAATCTGTCAGGAGAACAGACGGCTCTGGTTGTTGGAAAGTGACGTCAAGTTGCAGCTGATTTATGGTGACCCCCCTGTAGGGTTTTCGAGGTAAGAGGTGTTCAGAGGCGGTTTGCTACTGCCTGCCTTGGTGTAGGAGTCCTGGCATTCCTTGGCCCCGGTGCATACGGGTGGGTGGGGGGGGGGGGAGGCGTGGCTAATTGCCCAGGCGCAGTTTGATGCGCGATCAGACGCATCAGTACAGTACTAGTTTTTTAAGGCGCATTGTTGGCAGTAAGCCACAGGTGCGCTCCACTTCCCAGATGTTGGGGTGTGATCGCGCCTGGATAATCCGTCCACTATCCGTGCCTCTCCCGTGGCAACTTTGCCGTGTGACCGGGGCCCTTGTAAGCCTCCCATCCAAATACTAGCCCAAGGCGGACACTGCTTAGCTTTCAATATCTAACGATATCATGCTAACTGGGGCTATCCGGAGTCAGGTGGGGTAGCTGCGTTGGTCTGAAGCAGCAGAACAAAGTCTGAGTCCAGCGGCATCTTTAAAGCCAACAAAGTTTAATTCTGGGTGTCAGCTTTTGTGGGCAAGCACACGTCTTCAGGTCACGCCTTAACCTGCGAGAATGGGCAGCTCAGTTCATGCCCGGCTTGCAGGTAGGCAACATCACCTTCTATCTGTTGTAGATCAAACTGCCATTAAAGGGACAACTAGGGGGACCGGTTTAAAAGCTGGCAACCCTCGGCGGGATATAAATGTTTTAATAAATAAATAAATAAATAAATAAAAATAAAGGGCAGTGGGAGCCCCACACCTCCCCAGTCCCAGAGATGTGGGTGTCCGGTTGTGGTTAAAGTGAAACGCACTTTGCACATGCTCAGAAGCTCTCTAGACAGTAGACACAGACACGCTACAGGCAAGTCTTGGCAATTAAGAATGCTGCCCGGAAGTCTTAAACGCTTCTGCTTCCCCTCTCCCCACTCCGTTCCCTTTTGCTATTCCTCTCCCACTCACCCCCAGCTCCAAGGATCCCCCACTTACCTGCCAGGCTTCGACGAGACCGACCAGCAGCCCGCCCCGCCCCTGCCGAACGAGTCGGAGGGAAGCTGGCTGCCGACCACCGAGTGTAAAACGCAGAGCGGTCTTAGGAACAGGAATCCGTCACCATAGAGTAACAACGGTGGGGAACGACGCCGTAGAGATAAAAATCCAACGTCTCTACATAGACACGTCCGGTTCCTCATTGAACGTGCGGGGCAACCAAAGAAATAGAATTATTTATTTAAGGAGTCTGTATGCCGCCGATCCAGAGACCTGCTCGAGGCGACTTACCAGTAAAAACAATGTTATGAAACACCTGACATTTGTCAAGTTAAAAACAAGCCATTGACGACATCCTGCAGACAGTGTTAAAGGGCTCTTCCCATTAAGCATGAGACTTTTGCCACGCATATGGCGAGCACCCAATGCAAACCTGAAGTAGAACATTCATTGATTCAGGTGGGTTAGCCGAGTTGGTCTGAAGCAACGGAACACAGTTGGAGTCCACAGGCACCCTTAAGAGTTAAGACCAGCAAAGTTTTATTCAAGGTATGAGCTTTGGTGTGTAATGTATGAGGAAGTGAGCGTGCACACGAAAGTTCACACCTTGAATAAAACTTTGCTGGTCAAACTTTGAAGGAGAGCTTGTGTTTTTAAGTCTGGAACAAAGCGGCCTTTGGAGCCTGCAACGAGACTTCTGGTCCACGATCGCAGCCGGTAGAACGCCCTCCTTCCCTGCGCGAGGCGAGCGTGGTGGAAATCTGTAGTAAAAATGCAAAACCTCAAATAAACCTGTCCGGGCAAGAAGTGGTGCTTTGAAATAATCAAATTACATATATGTTGCCTTTCTTTACGCAGGCAAATCGGGGGAAAGGTGCAGAAGGCTGTGTGCCTGCATGCCATGATCTACATTGGCATGTTGACTTCGATGCTCAGGGTGACCGTAAAAATCATCATGACTGCTCCGTTTGGCAGACAGAATAAAGAGCTGGGTTCTATTCAATGGTAACTCGTTGGCACCAGAGGGAGAACGTGGCGCTTGTGAAGTTCCCACAGCTGCCCAGCAGAGGGACTCCTGCTCAAAAGACCTTCCAGCATGTTTGGTCGCTTCATTCATCTATCGGTGTGGAACAGCTGTTGCTAAGATCAGCAGCTGTCCAGCAAACCACATCTGTGCCACTGCAGCCCCACCAAACTCAGTCATCAGTACTGGAAAGTGGGCGGCTGTGAAGCTGGCATGAGACTCAGACTGTCACAAGCCGCAGCACTTGGGTTTTAAGAGGCTCCTCAAAGACTGATGAGACAAGGCTCACAAGAGAATCCTGAGATTGCCACTGAGGTTTGAGGCAGACTTTTTCAGAACAGCCTTCGCGGGCAAGAAGTGGTGCTTTGAAATAATCAAATTACATATATGTTGCCTTTCTTTACGCAGGCAAATCGGGGGAAAGGTGCAGAAGGCTGTGTGTCCGTATGCCATGATCGACATCATCATGATTGCTCCGTTTTGGCAGACAGAATAAAGAGCTTGGACTCTATTCAATGGTAACTCTTTGGCACCAGAGGGAGAACGTGGCGTTTGTGAAGTTCCTACAGCTGCCCAGCAGAGGGCCTCCTGCTCAAAGACCTTCCAGCGTTTTTGGTCGCTTCATTCATCGATCGGTGTGGAACAGCTGTTGCTAAGATCAGCTGTCCAGCAAACCACATCTGTGCCACTGCAGCCCCACCAAACTCAGTCATCAGCGCTGGAAAGTGGGCGGCTGTGAACCTGGCATGAGACTCAGACTGTCACAAGCCGCAGCACTTGGGTTTTAAGAGGCTCCTCAAAGACTGATGAGACAAGGCTCACAAGAGAATCCTGAGATTGCCACTGAGGTTTGAGGCAGACTTTTTCAGAACAGCCTTCGCCGCAGGATAAGAAGGCCAAGGGCCAAGAGTCCCTTGGCTCTTCACTCTGGCCATGCCCTGACTGAAGAACCTGCAAACAGCGGAGAAAACCAGCTCAGCCCCGATGGGATACAACCCGTGCTAGTAAACTCACACAATCTTCCCAGCTTTCTCTCATGCCAGAAACACCTTTGCCCTGCACAGTTTGTCTTTCCAAAGGAAGAATTGAGTATGTTTTCAAGGGGGAAGATAAGCATCTAGAATTTGCCTTCTCTGAGGCTTAGTGAGGGCAGCAGGGCAGTCAAAATGGGGCCACTCCATCTTTCTATGGGCCATGTGCCTGGACGCTATCTCAGAAAAGCCCACCCAGCCATTCAGTGGCATGGAAGGGGGAAATGGGAAAGCAATAACCCACAGGTTGTTTGCTTTTGCACAGCAGTTTAGGAACATACGAAACTGAAGATAGATAATTCCCTGAGCCCGAGTCACACCAGTAGCTGATAGCCATCTCCCTTGAATGGCAGTATCTCTCCAGTGTTGCAGGCTGAGAAAGGTCTTTGCCAAGGGACAGAACCTGGGTCGTCTGTGGGCAAGTGCCATACTCCACTGCCAAGCCACAGCGCTTTACACAGAGACAACCTATGAAGCTGCTTTTCACGGAGACTGCCCATTGGACCAGCTGAGCTCCATATCACCTGGGATGATAGGCAGTGCCTCCCCAGGGCTTCCGAGAGCCCGTGTGGTATAGTGATTAAGAGCGGCGGGACTCTAATCAGGAGAACTGGGTTTGATTCCCCACTCCTCTGCATGAAGCCAGGTGGGTGACCTTGTGTTAGTCACAGTTTGCTCAGAGCTCTCTCAGCCCCACCTACCGCATAGGGTGTCTGTTGTGGGGAGAGGAAGGGAAGGTGATTGTAAACCACTCTGAGAGTCCTTTGGGAATGAAAAGTGGGGTATAAAACCCAACTCTTCTTCATCTTCTTCTCCTCTGGCCTTTTTTCCTGGAGAAGGCAGGAATCGAACCTGGGACCTTCTCTATGCAAAACAAGTGCTCTGCCCCTGAAACACAGCCCAGGATCATTTATAAAACAATAAAACAGCATTTATTTATTTATTTCCTTTGATTTATATACCGCTCACCCCCTAAGGGCTCTGAGTGGTTTACATTATACATTTTGATACAATCCTACCTAAGGCCACACACACATACAATGGGGGAAGTGACTAACCTAACAGGCACCCTGAAGCGGAGACTTTCGTTGTTTTGTGGTCTTTCTGCGGGCGGTCTTTTACCAGTTCGGCGATGACGTCTTCCTGGCGCAGGTCTTCCTTCGGTCGTCGCGACTCCTCCCAGGCCTGGGCCAAGCACACGTCAGTGCGTGCTCCTGCAGTCGGCCTCTGTCCAATCGGCTCCGGCCTGCCGCGTCGCCCCGCCTCTACGCTCCGCCGACCCAGCCTCTGCTCTCTCGCTCGACTCGCCAACTGCTGCCGCTCCGCTGCTCACGCCGAAGGACGGGTGCTCCCCCGCTCAGGTACCCATTTGTCTACTTGCCCTTTAACGGGCTTTCGAGCCGCTGGGTGGGCGGGAGCTGGGACATAGGGCCGGGAGCTCACTCCGGCCACGGTGGGGCTCGAACAGCCGAAGCTGTTCGGCCAGATGGAAATGCAGGCTTCATTTACTGCCTGTGCCACCGCATAGGTGCACAATATTTAAAACAAAACACATAAAGACAAATGAACACACAAGCAGGGAAGAGGGCTAATATAAGTTAGTAGGGGAATTAAGGGGCCATGGCTCGGTGTTGGAGCATCAGCTTGACATGCAGAAGGTCCCGGGTTCAATCCCCGACCTCTCCAGTTAAACGGAGCAGGAAGCAGGTGATGGGAAAGACTTCAGCCCATGATTTGGGAGAGCTGCTTCCAGTCTGAGTAGGCGATACTGACCTGGATAGACCAACAGTCTGATTCAGTATAAGGCAGCTAAAAGGTGGCTTCATGTGGGAACGCCAAACGAAGCAAAAAGTCTTCACCTGCTGGTGGAAGACAACGATCGCAGTCGACGGACAAATCACCCATGGGTGGGAGTCCCAACATGTCAGTGCTACAACCAAGATGGCCATTTCTTCAGCTGCCACCTATCTAACCTCAGGTGACGGAGGCTGCATAAGTTGGGCCTCTGAAGACGACTGCAGAGGATGGCCCTATAGGAGCTGATGGTGCTTGAGAGATGATGGCCCCAAGCCATGAAGAAGGAGGAGGAGCAGCGGCAGCAGCAACATCAGCTGGGTTTATACCCCGCCCTTCTCTTGGAGTGGCTTATGATCTCCTTTCCCTTCCTCTCCCTGCAACAGACACCCTGTGAGGTAGGTAGGGCTGAGAGAGCTCTGAGAGAACTGCTCTTGAGAGAACAGCACTGAGAGAACTGTGACTGACCCAAGGTCACTCAGCTGGCTGCATGTGGAGGAGGGGGGGGAATCAAACCCGGTTCTCCAGTTTCGAGTCCGCCGCTCTTCACCATTGCACCAAACATAGGACTTTAAAGGTCAACACCAATACCTTGAATCGGGCCCAGAAGCAAAATGCAACATACCCTCCAACCAAGTCCACAGATTTTTTTTCTAGTGTGTTGCTTTTCTGTAGTTTAGAATGTCTGTTTTGTATTTTCGTTTCCGAGAAGGATAAAGAGGGGGAACAGGCTCTCCAAAGGATTTGAAATCAAATTTGTAGACTACTTTTTATTGTATTTTTTGTCATAAGATTATCTGGAAACACTGGGGATGAATAAAAAATGGCATCAGGTCTTCTGCCCCAAACAGAGCACAGCCCTGCAGTTCTTCCTTCTCTGCAGTTCTAAAAGTAGCCGTGGTACCCCAACCGTAGCCTTGGGCATAGAAAACAGTTACTGTTTCTGGGACCTGCCAAATGGGTTGCGCCAAAATAGAGAGAGAAAAGACTCTCCACGGATGCAGCACCCAGAGAGAGCGGTTTTGTCGCTGTGTCTCAGAAGTGCACGGTTTGGGAAAGAGGCCAGCAAGA